CTGCCAGGCTCTTCTGTCTGTGGACTTTTCTAGGCAAGAATATTGGAGTGGGTTGCTATTTTCTACTCCAGGGGATCTTCCCGACCCAAAGATCAAACCCGTGTCTCTTGAGTCTCCTGCATTAGCAGGCAGATACTTTACCACCTGTGCTGATTTGTAGTTGACAGGATCTTCAAACTATCGGGGGCTCAGCATTATTCCCACCCCCTCACCTCCACCCAAATCCTTTTCTACCCCAAATCCCAGATCTTGAAATGGAAAACCTGTGCTTTCAGAACTAGTATGTAGACTCGCAAGGAAATCCTGCTGAGGAACTCAGTTGATTTGCTTCCCTAAGCTGAGTTCACCCTCCCCCAAGGCCGGTGAGTCTGGGTTTATAATTGTTTGCTTGAGTGAGTGAGTGAAAGTTCACGCAGTTGTGTCCGACTCTTTGTGACCCCATGGACTATTCTGTCCATGGAATTCTCCAGGCCAGAATACTGGAGTGGGTAGCCGTTCCCTTCTCCAGGGGATCTTTCCAACCCAGGGATCAAACCCAGGTCTCCCGTATTGCAGGCAGATTCTTTACCAGCTGAGCCACCAGGGAAGCCCAGTTGATTGCCAGTTACAAATTGGCACTTGCCAAGAGCATTGCCAGTGACTGAACAACAACAACAGCGCTACAATAACAACAACATCTGCCTCCGCCTCTGAGAAGATTTAACCCTGTGCTGCTGAAGCTGGTGACCTTCGGTACCCGCTGAGGCAGTTCGGGGTGCAGTGAGGCACTCTGCTCCAGGGAATCTGGTGAAACAAGTCTTTAGATAGTTAGATATTCTCAGGAACTGATTTCATGATCCCAACCTTTGCATCTTTTCATACCTAGAAAAGGAGTAAATCATGATGACATCAGCTCCATGATGACATCAGCTCCTCATGACCAGCAGAAAACCATTTATAAAATGAGTGCTTAATTGCATAAAACTCCCCCTTTGCCAAAATCATATATATTGACCTTCCCCCACTGTCTCTTTGGAGTAGTCTCTCCGAGCTATCTGAGGTGTTGTCTCCTGGGCTGCAGTCCTCATTTTGTCCCAAATAAAACTTAACTCGAAACTCACACTGTGCATCATTTTAGTCGACACAGGGGAATGGGTGTGAGTGTAAGGAAGTAGGGGAGAGAGAGGGAACACCTTGTGAATCCCTCCAAATATTATCTATTACACACTTAAAGTCATGCAGAAAGGCAGCAGGCCCACAGGTGTTAAGGAGATGGTCAGGTCTGTGACTTCTGACTTTGTAAATTTCATCATCTCTAACCTAGTAAGGTGTCATGCTATGGACACTATGTCTTAATGTTCATCATGGGCTCTTCATAAAAGATGACAAAGATGCAACACGAACAAGATCTGGGACTAGGGGGCTGAGCAGCAGTTGGATGTTTAAAAGATTTGGTGGGGATGGGAAATGACTCTGTGGAATATGAAATTCCAGAACAGTCGAGTTTCAGCCAATTTAGGAGTCTGAGCATGGAGGCATCTCATATGTCATTCTGAAAAGAAAAATTAGGAATAAAACTTGGATGGCTGCAATTATTGATCAAATGGATGGTTTTTGCAGACTGTTACCAAACCAAAAGTTGAGTCTTCTCCCTTGAATGCAGCCTGGATTGTTGTGAAGCGATGTGTAGTGTTTATTGTAAGGTGCCACACAAAGAATTCTGGGACAGCTAGTGCTCAAAAAACCTGAACTTCTTGATGGGTTTCAGCAAAGCCTTTTAAAAGGCAAGGTGAGGAGAGTCACAGGGTATGTGATTGACTCATGCACATTTCTCTGATTGATGGTGAAGGTGTCACAGGGTTTAACATCGTCAATCCCAAGGTTCCTGTAGGCCTGGGGACAATGTGCTTATGGTCATTAGGTAATCAATCTATTTCCTCTGGGGATGATTTTAGCTTGTGTAAAACAACTCAAGAAATGTCTATCAGGTGCTATCATCTGGGTACTTCATTGTTGTTTAGTCACTAATTTGTATCCAATTCAGAAGGGCTAAAGCAGAGGACGGGGGAAGGTTCTGTACCAGGACGGCTCCCTAGGATCCTGCTCAATTACAGAACATCTAGGAATTCTCAAGGTCTCCACTCAGTCTTCTCACTTAATTGTTCATTTCTGCCTCATGGCTGCTGCAGACCCCTGATGCCTTCAAATGATAATATGTCACGAGAATTTAATAGATCCCCACATTTGTGATTGTCACTCCAGTTCCAGAAGTCCACTTTTTATAAGGGCATCATCTTGTTTTGTTTTTCACGAAGAAATAATGTTTTAACCAGACAGTTAAATTGCTCCTCATTTCCAGGTGCATGAAAAGCATCTTGGGGATTTTTCAGGACCCCACCATTGCAGAAAAAGGGATCCCTTCCGGGGCCTGAGAGTGGGCTCTTGTCTAACACTTGGAAATGAATTGAGACACATGCTGACAAAGTGAGAGACTTCACTGGAAAGGGGCACCCAGGTGGCAAACCACAGGAAACCAGAACTGCTCTGCGACGTGACTCGCAGGCTCGAGTTTTATGGTAATGGGGTTAGTTTCCAGACTGTCTCTGGCTAATCATTCTAACTCATCACTCTAATCATTCTAATTCCTGGTAGTGCAGGCATTGTTCAGCCAAGATGGATTCCAGTGAGGAGGATTTGGGGAGGGTGGCAGGACATTTGGACCGGCACCTCCTCCCTCCTTTTGACCTTACCCGAAATCTTCATGTTGGTGGCAACGTGTTAGCTCTGAGTTCCTTACCAGGCTCTCTTGTTGTAAGATAACTCGTGGAAGTGGTTACTACTTTTTCTGGCCAGAGTGGACAGTTTCAGTCAGTATTTCTCCTAACAATTTCTGCTGAGAGACTTCATACTCCAGATTCTTTCTGGGAATTGGGGCAGAGGTCTCTTTCTTCTAAAACTACTTCCTGCTGAAGTGGGCTTAGGCCTTACTAGCAGGGTAGAAGTCTCTCTCCTCCTGATCCAAAACGAGGTATTCTGGGTCCCAAACCAGCATTCATCCTTGTAGTAACAACGATTTGGCCTGAAACTGTTGGACCCTGTCAGATACGAACCTCATAAGCAGTTGAAACAGACATGGGCCAAACAGGAGGCTTAAAAGGATGATTTTAGCAGGACTCAGGAAAAGAAGGCAGAATTTGGGCTGAGGACTGCAGGGTGTATGGCTTTCTTCTGATTGGCTAGTGCTGAGGTAACAGGGTGGTACTCTAGGAATCTTGTGCTTAGCCTGAAGTTATCCTCTTTCTGGTTGAAGGCCTTAGTTCCTGTAGGAGAACTCAAAGATATTGCTATGGATGCTACTTGTAAAAGAATTGGGACCCTACCTCAAGACTGTACCACCCTTGACTGCTCATTCCCTGTTTTTTCCCTCCCTGCCCTGATTAGCGAGTGTTTGAATCTGCCCGATGGAACTCAAGAGAACTCAGAGAAGGTCAGGAAGGCTGAATGAAGCCTATACCCAACAAACAACAGGGGACACAGAAAAGACTTGTACTCTGGACCCCCAAAGAGTCCTGCTCAGTTTCATTCAGAGAACCGGGAGGAGACGGATCTGGCCACCTTCTGCTAAAATGAGGCATAGTTCTGCCCCAATTTGGAGAATTGACACTGAATTGGAAATATTGCTGAATTCCAAAACTGGAATGTGAGTCTTGTATTATCTGGGCCTTATCAATTTCTATAGGGAGAAATAAGAGTTTTCCTTTAAATATAAAGGCAGTTTAAATGCAGGTGAGAAAAATGAGAAGCTTACTAAAAAGCACAAACAACTTTCTAGGGATATCTGCACTACCTGAAAGGGAGAAACATAAGTGGAAGTTGTAGGAGGCCATCCTCCAGTATCTTTGCCAGGGAAGGTCATGTTTTGGCATTCAGAATGGCAGATAAATGGTGAAATTGATTGGGAACTTTTTAGAGGTATGCTCATGAACCCTCATAAATGACCAAAGGAGACTGGAAGGGTTTAGGATGAGGATGACCAGACAGTGACAGAAGATTTCAGTGCTAATATGCCTTCATTCCTCTGCACAGACTGGTGAGGCCATGTGACATTGGGCTTATGAGATGTACAAGAGCAGTGTTGGTGACAGGAAGACACAGATATGGAAGACCACATTTCACACTCATCAGGCTAAGTGGAGGAATCTTGATGGAAAGAAGTAAACTGAGAACTCGAGAAAGTCAGTCCCATCCATCATTTTTGTCAGACTCTTTGGGAGACTAAGATTTAACTTATGTCTCAGGGAAGTCTGAATGGAAGGCTACATCCTCAGAGTTTATCTCCTAACTGTATCCTAACTTCGAATCACTTCAAGGTAGCAGTTGATATTTTCCAATTCATGTCACCCATACCCCAGGCAACAGGATGGCTCTCCTGGAGTTAGGCATCCTACTAGATATCGGTGTGCTGCCTTAGAATGGGGTATCCCCACCCTTGCACCTGCTCCTACTCCTCTGGAGTCTTGCCCTATTAAAAGCTGCTGCAATAGGCCTACTAGGTGCTACATACTCATTCATTCTGTTGCTTGACAAAATTATCTTCACAGGACGCTTGAGAAAATATTCTGGTGCCTTCTGCCCTGTCTAGAGACAGAGATGCGGAAGGAGGAAAGGAGCTAGCTGGGAGGAACTTGTGTCTGATCTATTGGTTTTCTGAGTGCCCTGTGTTCATGCCCCCACTGCAGAGCGCACATATGGTCCTGCTAGCCAAAGAAGATCCACCAGAATGCCTAGATGGAAAGACAGGCACAGCCTCAAACTATGCCACAGATTTAGTTTATTTTGAACACAAGTCTTTTTTAGAAAGCAGCCATTGCACCATTTTAGATCTTTATCCCCCAGGGCTACAATTTCAGGCAAAGGAAAGAGCAAAGAATGGATATGGAAGTCTTGTTATGCCAAGCATAGAATTTGTGGATTCACAAGAAATCTTCAGGTGCTGTTCTTCAGGCATGCTCAATAACTGTTCAGTTCACTTTCGCACGGCCACCAGAGCCAATCTTCTAAAAAATACAAATTTGGTCATGACATTAACTGTGCTTAGAAATATCCAGCAGTTTACCAAACCCTTCAGCAGGAAGCTCTCTCTCCTCACTGGACTCTGGCATGGATGACCTTCCACCATCCCCCTGAGATGCTGCAGGCCTTTCTTGCTACCACCACATCCTCGTCTCCAATGGAAGACCCATACTCCTCCCACCCCCTCAACTGCCCTGCCTTCCTCCTGCTGACTTTCTGCACCCTGAATTCTCTTGCTCAATGTTCTCTACTCTGTGACAACTTTCCCAATCTCTCTCCCTCTAGGTAAAGCTCATAACTTCTCTCTTTCTCCCACAGTGTACGAGAAATCTGTACAAAGCACTGGTCACCCTACATTTAGATTGTTTATCTATGTCTGTCTCATTTATCCAGTTGGATATGTCTTTTTGTTTCAATTCCCGCACAATGCAAGCCTGTCAACATAGGAGATACTCAATCCCTGGGGATTTCCTTTCCCTTCCTTCCTCTTCCTGGGATGGTCCATTTCCCAGGAAGAGTTAAATCCCTTTGGTGAGGAAGGAGAAATAAAGTCAGAAAACCTTGGTTGAGAATGACCTGTGAATCTATATCATGGATACTTGTCTCAACTGAACCCATCAGTGTTGTCCTGGGATAGGGCTCCTCTTTTAGGAGGAGGCCTCAGATAATGTGGCCAGCTGTCCTTCTGCCATGCTTCCATCCCCTTTCTCTGGGAGTTTTCTAGACTCTCCTGTGCGGTGGACATGTGAGCAAAGTCCACTGGAGAGTTATGTGCACCCCTTGGCCAGCTCTTGACTGACTTGTACTCACGTTGAAGACAGCAGCTTTGCAGACATGACCACATCCATTGCTGCAGCATTTCATTCCCTCAGGACAGGAATAATCTCCTGAGCACCGTTCAACACAAATTCCTACAGTACCTTTGGGCAACTCTGGGCAGAATCCAGGTCTCTGTTGTCCTGAAACACAGGAAGGTGTTTGGAGTATGGAACAGTCACTAAGACAGGCCTGAGAACTGACGCTGGAGGCCTGATGCCTCCATCACAGGCAGGACTGCTGCCTATTCCATCACTTCCTCTGTGCTCTGGACTCCTCCCCGAGCCCCGACTGCTCCTCTCTCATGAAGTCCACAGTCTGGGCCTTAGGAGAATGCTCTCCCTTCTCTGAAGGCTGCATGGTCTCAGAAGATAAGAAACCTGCACAGTCATAACCCTCTTCTTCCCACCTTATATGAAGATTCTAGAGAAGCCTCTGCTTACAGAGATCACCGTCCCCTGCCTCCCACATTCCGTTTGTCCCCCAGCTTCCTCTGGGGTCCCACACACAAGGCACAGGTCTTAACTAGAGAGAAAACGTACCCTTTACCCCCAATTTCTAATCAGACCCAACCCAGTCTGATAGGGAGAATGGGCCACACAGGATGAGTGCTCATTTAGATCAAAGAAAATGCATCTAATCAATGCCAACTCCCCACTCTGCTGTGGAGACCTGGTTGCTTCCAGGCAAAACCACCTTCAGGTCTAACGCTGGGCTCTGAGCCTTCTCTGCTGTCAGCTAGGGTCCCCTCAGCACCCTCACCTTTGCCAGGAGACTTCTGAGCCCAGGCCACCTCCAGCCCCATGATGACAAAAGCCAGCAGAACAAAGACGGTGACTGTCTTCATGTTGGCCTCTGGTGTGGTGCAAGGACAGAGCCCAGCTAAAATTTATACTCTCACTGTCACCAGAAAGGAGGGTGGGGTAGGAGGCAGTAACGCAGGAAGAGGATTCAAATATAAGCTCTCAAGGGAGTGTCCCAGGATATTCTAGTTTCCTTGTTCTATTTCCCAACTGTTTTCTCAGACTAGGAAATGGTTTCTCGGATATGCAAATACAAAACTGGAGAGTTTGGGAACATTTTTTTAGCCTTTCTTTCATTGCTCCATCACAACTTGGCTCTGGTTTCCCTGGTGCCTTTAGGAGTCATGGTCAAAGAAAAGAATTCTCTCCATGTAACTTAGAATTTCACAGTGAGAGCTGAAATTATGGAGCTAGGCATTGTTAGGGTACATCTGAGGTCTCCAGCAGGTCCAGTTACTCAAGGATGGTAAATGTGTGCTTTGGAGCCTCCCCTAGGCATGAGGTGGAACCACGATGGTAGCGAAATCAATCATCTTAAGAGATGAATGTTGCAAGATCACAAGCTGGCTGGAGCCCTTGAGAGTTGAGAGACATGGTCTATCTTGATGACTGGTGGTCTCTGAGGCTACCCTGCTGCATACCAAGAAGTTCCTGGAGAAAAGGCTGTGTGGGTGACCTACATGAGCAGAACTACAGGATAAAGACATGAAAGCCTCCTCAGGGGCCTGTGGAAGGAGCCCACCCACTTTCTCATCCCAATTACAAAATCTTTGAGAGAGGCGTATGCAGGTAAAAGTTGAATGGCCATGGGAATGAAGAGAAAGTGACTTTGTCCTTGGTGCTCAGGTGAGCACCTTAGGACCTCTTGTGGGGAAGCCAGCTACCCTAAGAGCAGAGAAAGACCAAGCCAGCCAAGAAAGGAGGACTCAGCCTGCCCATCTCAGGCAGAGAGCTCACATTAGCATCTGGGAATCTCAGCATGTTCAAAGGGTACAAGCCCCCAGGAATGACTCCTTGGTCTGAAGGAGGGACCAGGGTTCCCAGGGAGGGAGCTCAGTCCGGGGTGGAGATCAATGGGCCCACGCAGCACAGCAAGGGGGAAGCCCTGATCCAAACCCAACATGGCTGGCTGGACCCCAGGATGCTGTATACTGTAGCCGTGATCGTGGGGCCAGGGATGGACAGCTCCAAACAGCTTGCAGGAGAGTCCTTTGGAGCAGCACTGTTGGCAAAGAGAGGACTCTCGAATCCTTCTCAAAAAGTGAGCTAGACTTGACCATCACCACTGAGATAACATAATCTGTCAAAGTTCATTTTCACACAACAAACACCTAATTGTGGTAAATAATTCCAACAATACGGATATATCCAGAGTAACCTTCCAGGAAGTAATCAATATTATCAATTTGCTATGTATTTTTCTATGGCCTTTTCCTATGCTTTTATGTACACATATATGTATATACACAAATATAGACTTTTTTTTGCATAAATAGTTATATGTATTATTTTGCTTTATTCATGTAATGTTATGTTTCTGAGGGTTTTCTAGGTTAGTAACCTCTTTTCCTTTTAAAAACTAGCTACTATCTAAAATTCTGTTATATGAATGGTTTATAATTTACTTAACTAAGCTTCCAGTTTTGACTTTTAGCAGGTTTGGGGATTTCCTGGTTATCAAATAATTTGCTGTGAATGTGTATCATATACTCTGTAACGCTTCTTTATATATATATATACATACACACACACACACACACAATACGATAAATATTGTATATACTAAGACTGCTACATGTCAAATGTGAAAGTGGTTAAGACAGACAATCTTAAGAGTTCTCAGCACAAGCAGAAACATTTTTTAAAAATATTTCTTCACTGTTGTATCTCTACGAGATGATAGCTGTCCACTCAACCTATGGTGATAATCATTTCATGATGGATGTAAGTCACATCATTAGGTTTTATACCTTTAACATGTACAATGCTGTATGTCAATTATATATCAATAAAGCTGAAAGAAAAAAAAAAGAGACCATACAATCTACACTTCCTTCCACAGCAAAGGAGACATGGATTTCTCACATACTGATCAAGTACATTTGTAGCTTTGCTTCCCAAGTCAAATGTTTTAAAATTTTATTTATGTTTTTCTTGAAGTAATTGATTTACAATGCTGTGTTAGTTTTAGGTGCACAGCAAAGTGATTCAGTTATCAGTTCAGCTCAGTTCAGTCGCTCAGTCATGTCTGACTCTTTGCGACCCCATGAATCACAGCATGCCAGGCCTCCCTGTCCATCACCAACTCCTGGAGTTTACTCAGACTCATGCCCATTGAGTCGGTGATGCCATCCAACCATCTCATCCTCTGTCGTCCCCTTCTCCTGCCCCCAATCTGTCCCAGCATCAGGGTCTTTTCCAATGAGTGAACTCTTTGCATGAGGTGGCCAAATTACTGGAGTTTCAGCTTTAGCATCAGTCTTTCCAATGAAAACCCAGGACTGATCTCATTTAGGATGGACTGGTTGGATCTTCTTGCAGTCCAAGGGACTCTCAAGAGTCTTCTCCAAAACCGTAGTTCAAAAGATTCAGTTATACATGTATACAGATGTCTATTCTTTTTCAGTTTCTTTTCTATTATAGGTATTGGCTCAAATGGTAAAGAATCCACCGGCAATGCAAGAGACCAGGGTTTGATCCCTGGGTCAGGAAGGTCCCCCGGAGAAGGAATTAGTCACCCACTTCAGTACTCTTGCCTGGAGAATTCCATGGGCAGAGGAGGCTGGTAGGCTACAGTCCATGGGGTTGCAAAGAATTGGACATGACTAAGTGACTAATATAGATATTACAAGGCATGGAATAGAGTTCCCTGTCCTATACAGTAGGTCCTTGTTGTGTATCTATTTTATATACAGTAGTGTGTATCTGTAAATCTCAACCTCCTAATTTATCCCTCCCCTCTTAAGTTTTTAATGGACTAGTTTAAGCTTCTAGTCTCATCCTCCCCTTGGCATGTATCTCAATTGGGAATATGAGGCAGTGAATACTAAGCACAGTAAAGGAATTTAACTAGAGAAATTGTATAACACAATATAATATACTTGTTATTGTAGTACTTTGAGTTTCCAATATGAAGCAAAGCATAATTAAGGCCTGTAATGTCTTCCTGAATAGGCATTGCAAGAACAGATGCTGCAAGATTATTAAAGAGAGACTCTGTACAATAATAATGACAATACTTGACCTTTATTAAGCATGAAATTATCTGGCAGGTCCTGCGTTTGTACTTTGTATGAATCATCTCACTGAAGGCTCACAAGCCAGTGGAGTTGCTTCCATGGGCATCATGTCACAGAGGAAGAAAGTGAAATTCGAAGAATGGCATTCCTTGTAAACACTTCAAACCCACCATGGATCCACTGATGTGGGATTTCCAATGGCAGTGTCAGAGGAGCCACCCAACTTGGCCAGGCAAAACAGTAGCCCCTTGCATGCGTTATCTTACAACAGAAGGTACTGGTAAGGAACTCAGAACTACAGGTTACCACTAACTGGAAGAATTCAGGAAAGGTCAAAAGGAGGCATAAGCTGCCAGTCCAAATGTCTTGCTAACCTCCCAGAATCCTTTTCACTGGAATCTATCTTGGCTGTGAGGCATGTACCACCAGGAAGGACCCTGAGTCAGAATGATTAGCCAGAGACAACCCAGAAACTAACCCCATTACTATAAAATCTGAGATTGGGAGCCAGTTCCCCTGGGTTCCCTTGCCCTTCAGCTCTAAATCTGGGTGTCCTTTTCCAATAAAGATTCTTGCTTTGTCAGCATGTGTGTCTCCTCAGATAATTCATTTCTGAATGTTAGATAAGAGGCCACTCGCAGACCCTGGAAGAGGTTTCCCTTCCTACAACAAATGGCGACTCTGGTGGGATCTCTTCTTCACTACAACTGACATCTTGACCACTTGGGGTACTCAGCGACCAGCTCACCCACTGATGGACCAGACCCAGTGGCCACAACTGGGGCCATTTTATCCCTGGTCTCCTCCTGATGTGGATGACTGGCCAGAGTCATCCCTGGCCTTGACCAGGGAAGGAACAGGAGATTTTATTGACCTCTTTCCCCTTCCCTCTCTCTTTCCTCTTTTCAACCTCCCCTATCCTATCTTTTTTTCTTCTGTCCTGGTCCTGGACACAGGAGTCTGTTTGGAGGGCCTCAGCCTGATCTGAGGGTTGACACCTGATCACCTCTGGTAGGTAGAGAACTCTAATTCTGGTTCAGGTCTGGTATTCGGCCTCTAGTTTCAGGTAGGGTTGAGTTCCCATCCTCCCTTCCTGAAAGCCAAGGGGAAAGTCTCATAACACCTTGCATCTGCAAGAGACCACCAGGTGTCTGTAAGGGCACCCCCTTAGTCCCTCCACCATCCCCCTCTCCTTTCAGCCTGGCCTCTTTTCCTCCCTTTGAAACCTTGAAGACCTGAGAGATTTCTATGTACTCTGTTCATACTTGGAACTGGAGTTCGTGTCTCTAAAGGAGGTTTCCTGAGAGACTGCAATCTTATATTTTAGGAAATGTTTGATGAGGACAGCTGGATCTGTGTGTATTTTATACTTTGAGCTCTGTGTTGTGGTTTGTGATGGCCATTCTGCCTTGTGACGTGGAGTAACATTGTGTGGTCACCATTCTGTTTAGACATAAGATAAAGTTGGTTTAAACAAAACTCTTAAAAACTGGTTTCAAAACTAGTTTTTTTCTGCATATACAGTGAGTAAAAGCAAGCTTGATCAAATGGCTTTCTGACCCCGAGGGAACAAGTAAATTTGGGATAATTTAGAGGGCCTCTGAAGTATCTTGCATACCAGGCTGGATGAATCACAAGCAGGAGCCAGTATTGCCAGGAGAAATATCTACAGCCTCAGATATGCAGATAAAATCACTCTAAAGGCAGAAAGTGAAGAGGAACTAAAGAGCCTCTTGATGAGAATCAAAGAGGAGAGTGAAAAAGCTGGCTTGAAACTCAATATTAAAAAAAAATTAAGATCATGG